ACTCTGAGTGTATATGCGTTTACATGGGTTTTAGATAAATTTGTGACCAGATGAGTCCACGTTAGTGGCATTGTCAGGTATGCGCACAGCTGTGTTCGTAATAATTTCTTCTGTCAACGAGCTCATTCATTTTTGTTGCATGAATCGATTTTGAAGTGTTGTGCTTATCTTTTTTCTGAGATTCATGAGTTATTTATTTGTTTTTCTCGCTCACTTCTCTTCTATGACGACTATATAAGGAGATTTGACAAACAAAATCGCATGCTTTAATATGAAATGCTTCGTATTAATTAAGATTAGGCTCTCAATAGCTGTTAGTCAAAATAAGAATCATCTATGCCGCTGAAACATGCCAGTTTTGAAGCAACGACATGGCTTCTCGCTGTCTATATAACAAAAAATAACTCTTTTGTAATGATGAAACGACGTCAATAAAAGTTGTATGTTGCTGTCGAATCGAAAAACAAGCTGCTGTTTACCCTTTCCTAGCTTCAATTGACGAGCAAGAAATTGTCGCTGCTCTGAAGAAGAAAAAGTATGACAAGAATACACTATTGCTTTTTAGCAAAGTTGTCGGACGTATTCACTCGAACAAGATGAAAAATCTCAGAAAAATTTCATCATCAATGTTGATATGATTCGTTTTGTTGTTCTGACAACCATCTTTCTGATTATAATCCTAACAGGGGTGAACTCAATTCATTGGCTGGAACCATTCACAAGTATGTTCAAACAAGCACGTATATGATTGATTTTTGACGTCGCATCAATAAACTTGGTGCTTCAGGAATTAGCTCATTGTCTCATTCGATTCAAATTGACTTCAGCCAGAACGATAAGTTCGTTATCATATTTGACCAGCAAAATACTTAACTGGATCGAGATATTCTTGTCGACGTGGAACTAGTTGAAAATCGATCGAACTAATGACATTATACTCTTGGTAATTTTTGCATATAACAATTGAATAGATTTGTTTGACAAAAACAAAAGGAAAAATCGCCCGAGAAATCCGACCTAATTTCATAATGTCTCATTTTTCATCTTCTCTAACTGACTGAAAATGGCACGTGAAAGATCCAATCTAAGATTTGAATTTTCATCCACAATGGAGGAATTACGAAGAGATGAATATGAAAGCACTTCTAGACTATTCTATGCCATGCAGAATATCAAAAGCTCTAACTCTAATGATTCAAGCTGCACATCAACTTCATAAACGTCGTGATAAAGAGTGATATGAATAAGTGGCAGTACGACAAGAAATGCTGAAATTAAAAGTCATTCAACGAAAATGATCGAATGCTTATGTGAAACGAAAAGAATCATCGTTATAATTCAAAAAAAAGGTTTCGAATGCATGGTTACATGTTTCAACAGTGTATAGTAGCGGAATGAATGCGAGCATGAAATAGAAACCAAAAAAGTGATTACTAACAAAAAACAAAACGTGAACAAAAGACGAGTGACAACATCATAGTAACCATTGAAGAATTCAGAAAATATTCAAGATAAATAGATAAACTGAGATATATTCACTTCTATCTATTTTCGTTTTTGAAAGTGATGCATGCATCTTTCAAATCTGTTCTGTAGTCTTCGAATCAATTGAATGTGAATTCCACATTTTATCTCCATCAAAGAGTATACTGACAAGCTTTTTAGAAATCTTTTAAAATGAAATTATATCGACAAACGAAGATACGAGAGAATGAAAACACAACATATCAAACTCGTAGAAGAAGAAAAATATGATGTATGTAAGGCTCGATCAATTCTTTTTATCGTAAGTCTTCCTGTACTTTTACAGTGCATAGACAAAGTTTTCTGCCAATACTCAATCATCGAACAATCACATCCTCTTGTTTCTAGTCAGATTTTGAAAATTTTCAGTAACTTTTGAACAATAACTTTTTAATAAATCGTCATGTTGTTAGGAAAGAAAATCAAGTTGACTCGAAAATTGTTGACTGCTTAACTGTTGGTTTTAACTTAACTTAAGATGTTCCTTTCAACAATTATCGTCATCAAACAGGGCCGAAAATCGTGTGTGTAAAATGTCGATGAAATTCAACGCATTCTAATGATATCTTGTCAGACGTTTCAGAAACTTCAGTCGTACTTGACAACAATAAGTTTGAGTGATTTCAACGTTATTCTATCAGCTTGATTAATAGACGAACACAATTTATTTTAGCGTTCTCAACTTCCATTTGGCTTCCCTTAATCAAAAAGACAGAGTTCCGAGAAATCCTAGTATGTCTTGATTTCATTCTGATTAGAATACAGCAAGTAAACTTCATTATTATTTTGATTTATTGTATGCACAAAGAAACAGCATATAATAAATATTCCCTTGCAAGAAAGAGAATAACTGTATTATTAATAAGAGAAAAAAACACAAGTCATTTTTTCACATAAATAGGAGTCGCATTGTATAAAATTGGAAGCATAATTATTCTTCAGAAACAGTGAGTATTTCTTTTTATAGAATATGCGTAGAGACCAATCGTAGTTATCCTACATTCATCGTCCAGCTATACATCTTTTTTTGGAACTCACATTATATTTTCGAAGAGAATAGTGAGTATAAGGTTTCCGGTTTCCCATTCTCCCATCCCCTCCCATTACGGATATCTCACTATTACAAACCTTGGCAATTCTGCTAAAAGAGAAAAGGAAAAAATTACTGTTCAAAATTCAGAAATAAATAAGAGAGATCCTTATTGCTACAATCGATTGACTTGGGAAATAACTATAGTCTACAAGAGATTTTTTAATTTAAGTATTTTGTATTAGTTTAATGAAGCTAAAGAATTCATGCGAGTTCCACATTTTAGTTCCAATGGGACTGTGCTAGCAAGCTTTCGTGTTTCTGTTTAATCAAGTGTTCGAACATAATTTGAAATGCGTGTTGATTTATGTGTTGATACACGTGCGGTGATTTATATAAAACTTAACTTCGTCTTCGGATTGTTTGGTAGTTCGATCTACTTTTAATGTGATTATGTGAATCATCAGTACGGGCACGAAGCATATACGTTTCATGGAAGAGATAATTTAGTCGAAAGCAACACGGAGTATACAGCGATTCTCTATCACCACGATGGCAAATATAATAACTTCATAAGAGATTTTTCCTGAATACAAACTGACTAAATAACAGTGCTAAGCATGTATCTAGAAACTAACTGCTTCATTCTGAGAACAATGCTCCAATAAAATCACAAAAGGCTTTTGACGTCTGCCCTTCTATTCCTGACGTATGAGTGCTTTATTGATTAATAAATGTTGTGCATAGCAGCTTGTGCAAAATCAAATAGCGTAATTTCCAACTGAAGTCTTGCCCGCAGAGAGACCAAATTATCATTAGATTGTCCTAATATATTCATCATAAAATAATGTTCTCTTGTTGAAATATTGAACTCTCAAGTGATCTCGATTTTCAACCATTTGCACATACTTAAGGGTCAATTTTAATTTCAATATTTCAGTAAGAAAACATTTGTTGCCGTTGTAAACTTCACAATAATCTAACAAACACGTGGCCTATCTGAAAAAAAGGATTTCATCTTGAGATTATGCTACTTGATTTTAAGTGAGCTGGCTATACACAAAATCAAAACTTAATGAATTACTCACACGTTAAGGAGGAAATAACACAAAACCCAAACACTTTAGCAGTTATACTGATCTCACTGAGGTATTCATAAGGACCAAATCTCATGTTAAAAGCAAAGCTAAACTTAAAGGAAGTTCCTTCGTTAGCGTCATTAAATTGCAAAAACTAAGACATTTTCATTTCATTTTCAAGGTATACCACACTATTTTTAACGTCGCATATCTTAAAAAGGTTTCAGCATGAATAAAAAATGAGATGTTGGTGCGAATGCAGACCTGAGTGTGGGTGAATAGAGGACGACCACACACAAACCCACACTTGCACCTAGATTCCAGACCCGAAACCTATACTCTCAGCTACACATCCCTTCGCACCCACCCATATCCACGTGTACACCAACGCCCCACATCATAACCGGACACCTACACCCCAGATCCTCACCGTTGTGTAGTTTACGCAGTCTTGAGAATACTCTAAACATTTTAGCTCAAAAAGATGCGTTCTCGACATATTAAATGCCCCAAAAAATGTTCATGTTCACAGGGAAAGATCAGAAAATCGACGATCTTCAGTGTTCGACATCTGACAAAGAATGCATCCTTTTCAGCCGAGTTTTCGATCGAGATTCCACGGCTCGTTTTCTCATAAATGTTGTGCTGTCAGCGAAAAATTTCACTAAAACGTTAATAACTTCTGATGGACTGTGCATGTGAGTACACTAATAGGCTTCTACATATGAAGAAAACATCTGCTAGATGAATGCCTCACACCTGATCAGCATTCATCACCAGAAAGATAAGGAGTTTTTATTATTTTTTTTTGTTGGAAGTTCAACGGTTTTTGGTAGATGCCTATTGAAATTGCAAATTTTAGAGTACTTGTCACATCTTCATTTACCAGGCGAAATATTGGCTGAATGCTCACTGTGCTTCTACACTTCCTACTTTATCTTATTGTTGTCGAGGGAGTTCACTTTAACGGCGGCACTATTAGGTGGCAACCTGTGACGCCCTACGTCAATTCAAGTTCAGTACCAATTACCATCATTCAGTCCTATTCATGGAGTTATCCAACGATAACCTGTACAACCAACGTACCCATTTCGACTAGTGGTCGCAGCGGATCGAACGCTAATTTGACATGCATTTCTAGCTGTTCGACCGATGGTGGCTATGCCACTAAGCCAGTGAATATTTTAACTGATTGCGTTTCAGCTAGTTCATCTCTTGGTATGATGTCTAGTGCACGATCAGTGAATATGTCGCTCACATCCGGTGCACACTTTTACTTATCGTTTCAAGGCAGTGCTTGGACAGCGCTCAACGATCCTCCAGTAAGTGGTCTGTACTGGTCTATTGTGGCGTTCATAGATCTTCGAATGCGACCTGATGGTTTTATTAATACCCCACCTGAAGCAACTGTCGTTTCTCCACAATACGCGGTTGTCAATCAAACAACTCAGATTCAAATACCTGTATCGGATGTTAATACAGGCGATGATATTCGTTGTCGATGGTCTGTTTATACACCCGGAAATCGAAAACGAAGACAAGAGCATGAATACGAAGGGTTCTACAATGCAGTCACTGTCAATATGCAAAGGAAACTAACTGCAGATCGAGAAACTGTTCACATAAGAGAAAAACGCGGACGAGGACCTGCACCAGATCCATGTACTAGTTCTTGTGCTACTACGTGCTATAATAAATGCCCATGCCGCTGCTCGTCTTGCACAGATACTACTTGTACTGGTACTAGTTGCAAGGCAAAATACTCTTGTCCACGAGTTACAACTACAGTCGAAACTCCGGGAACTATACCACCAACTTCATCGTACCCCAATCATCAACCGATTGATGAATGTGGTGGCATTTGCTATCCGAGCAGCGTACCCAGTGGTACAACTTTATCCAACTGCACTTTATCGTTTAAGGGTCTTGTTCCGGACACATGGTATGCAGTTGCTATTCAGGTAAATAAAGATGTAATACCATCAGTCCTGTCTCTTTTCTATTTCTGGCGCCTCATTTTTCTTGTCTAGACTATGTTGAGCTAGTCATAGTTTAATGCGGTCATGAGAAGTTTCTAAAAAATTCCACCACACAATTGTTAGGTCGTTTATATCATCAGAAAATTGCATCAGCTCAAAACTCATTTGACTTTTGAAAGAACATAATGTTATGTTTCTATTTTACGAGGTTTTATCAAACTACTCACGATATTTCTTTTAGCCAATCGTTTCCAAAAAGGGAGCGTCTGATACATCTCTATCATAGCGACGAAACCAGTGTTTTCGCAGTGGGCGAAGCTTAGGTGTCCGGATTCTGTCCGATGTAGTGAACTTTGACTAAGTTTATATCCCAAGGGTCTTTTTCGATCATTTTTGCATAGTGGGAGTGAGTGTGGGCATGAATAATGATTGGAGTGTCTTGCTTTGTCTTACACCCACATCCTCACTCCATACCGATATCCTCGACCTACACCCACACTCTGGGATGTTAGACGTCTTGGCCAAGTCTTTCTGTCTGCCAGGTATGCATGAGACGTTCACAGAACAGGTGTAGGCAGTGGATTCATTTTTCTCGCTATATACTCCATTAGACATCGCCTAGCATTTTTCGTAAACCTATAATGTACAGGTCTGGTATTTGCAAACCACATCTTTCTAAAACCTAAATTTGCATGATCCTAAACTAGAACAAAAAATGCTTCTAAAACGAACGACACCATGGTCCGAAATATCAAAAACTAATGATGCATAAGTCCAGAATAACAGTCGAACTTTTGTGTTGTGGCCTGTGGAAAATCAACTGAAGCGAACCAATCCAATTTTTTTGCTGTACACTTGGAGAGTGTTTAACAGTCATGTTGTGCAACAATCCAGAATTCTAAAATTGGAACATTCGCAATATTATTGTCAAAACCATGACATCATTGTGCTAAAATCTATTACACTGTGGTGCTGAACTTCCTATAGATGTATATTAAGAATTCAACACTCAGTGATTGTTAAATCCACAATACTGTAAGCCTAAATCCTAAATCCTAAATCCTAAATCCTAAATCTTAAAAATAAGCCAAAGGTAACAGAAAAGAGGGAGCATAGCTTAATAAAAATCGTGTTTTAAATAGACAGACATATAAACAAAATGATTTAATTACCTTTTGCAGATCCTAGTCTGTTAGTCTATGGAACGAATGTCACAAAACAAGCTGATCAGTTTTCGATATTGGCCTGACTAGAATAAACAAATATTTGAGTGTGTCATGTAGTCTTTATGACATTCTACGGCTGTGTCAAATTGATTATCAACCCTTTTCATTCTGTCAACAAAAAGTTTCGTGGATATTAATGAACTTTCTTTTTCAAGCTCGGTTTAAGATGAAACGTTGCATCGAAGAATAATCTTCAATAAAATGAATGTACTACTCACATACTTGAAATTTAATTATGGCTTACCAAATTTTCAATTTCTTCCAGCATCATCCGAATTCTCTTAGTCAATTGTTGACACCTGAATCATGAAACAATATTATATTAGTTTGATCATGGAGCTTGTAAAGTTTCAATTTTCTGATCGAAAGTGCAAATTGCTAGAACGCGATTCATAGAAGTTTTGAATGTTGAGATATCTGTTTCAAACTGTCTCATCTAGTTCACATGAACCATCTATAGTTCTTTGTGTTCAAAAGGGTAGTCGGTTTATACCGTTTCATTTATCTATCTTTACAAATGTTCAGACTCTGAGCCCATCCCAATCTCAAATCCTACGTAGTTACGCTGCTAAATTTCACACATGTTTTCCACAACAAAATAACAGATGGATCAGAAAGAATGGGTTTCTCATTATTTTCAACTTGCATTGATTGCGTTTCAATGGATCTGGAAAAATCTTTTTTTTAATAAGAAACGTTCGATTTTCTACAAAAATCACATTAAAGAGTTCTTGGATAAAATAACTGGTAAGTCATATCCTTTCAGTGTTACGAAAGTCCAACATGTTCTGCTTTTAAACGGTGGATTTTTATACAATTGATTATTTCTCTTCTTTTACATAAGTAGATCCCAGACAATTTCACAGCAAGTTTCCTACGCTTTGACACCTCTTCTCTCTATTGGAGTTCAGCAAAAAACTCGCAAATAAGTTAGCAACATTGAATAGCATATGTTCTTGAAAAAAAAATGAGTTCAAAATAGTGATCATACTCCTTAGTTACGCCATGCCTTACAAACAAAGAGTGGTACAACAGTTCACTCGTGTCAAAATTATAAAGAAGACATTTTGTTCAATTTTGTTAGTGAATCTGAATAAGTATTAATTCATATTTCACGAAATTCAATCGAAATTTGGATGAATATTAATGGAAGGTTGATCGAATTCGAATAACGACAGCAGTATCTAGGATCCAAAAATTGGCGATTCGAGAAAATTTAAGGAATTCAACACGTTCATTTAACCTAAAGCATATTGCTTGAAACAATCATGGAATTCAAGAAA